TGGTGGACGACTAGGCAATGAAGAGGATCAGAGAAGCAGAAGTTGAAAGATACCTAGGTGTCCAGGTGTCACTCTCCAATGCTCGTCCGACCCAAGATGCAATTTTTGAAGCCAAGGTAGAAGCTAAGGTGAAACGATGCAGAGTTGGCACAGGCCTATCGCTGATGGGGAGAGCGACCGTAATATCAATATCGATCTTCTCACTCATATGGCACATCGAGGCTGTTATTCTGATTTCCAGGACTACGCTCCAAAAGATCAGATGTGCAGCAGCTCATTACCTTTGGAAGCCTGAAGATAATGATCAGAGGGGTTTTATCTCTAAAGTATCCTGGGATAAAGTGACCAGGCCGAAGGAGGAGGGAGGATTGGGGATCCTGGACCCGACCAACCAAAATCTGGCCTTGCTAGGCAAATGGATTTTCAAAGCCTGCACGCAAAAGGAACAGAGAAGTTCGGTAAGCGTGGCGCAATACATTATACGGCAGGAGTTCCATTTGAGGAGAGAAGAGGATGTCTGGACACTTCTTCAGAACACTGCAGCGCTGAATCGACGGCCAAGATCGGCCATTGGCTTGGCCTGGTGGATACCTTGGAAAAAGCTATACCCAAACAAGACTAGTCAGCCAGTAGTGAAAGAGGAGGTGTTGAGGCAACCAATTTTCGACAATCCAGCCCTCCAAGATGTTGGGGGGGGCAGACAGTTGTCTGTTAGGGCAAGGTCAGGTGCGTTCGGAAGAAAGTGGGTGGAAAGGGGGATCTCAAGAATAGAAGACATCTGGTCGGAAGAACAAAACGACCGAAAATCAGAAACGGAAATTCGTGACAAACTGGGTAGTCTGCAAGGAGTGGGAGAAAAACTGGCGAGGATTCAAGAAAAAATTCCAGACAGCTGGTTAGAAATCCTGCTCGCAGAGCAGAAACCGGTTTTTGGCGCTTGGTACAAGTCTGATTCCAGAGAGAAAACGCCCCAATCGGTACTGAAAATAGAAGAACAGAAAGAGGATGGCGACTGGATGGCTTCAAGGTGGATAGTAGACCAAAGTATAAACGATCTTCAGAAACTCACCTTGCAGCGAGAAGAAACGATCCTGACCAACGCTAATATGCATAGTATCAGGGTTCTACAGGCTGAGCGAGGAGGGGGAAGGAAAAACKTTTTTTTGGTACAGGGAGGACGGGCTATACGAGAGTTGCGTATAGATCCGGGGGCATTCTGTTGGGAGTCAGTACRAGGAGAGCAGTGGAACCTGATACAATACAGTACGAAACGGGCCCGACGGTTTTTGCAACCACAAGATGTGCACATCCCTGRGATATGTGAGAGGGCGGCCAGAACGTTGAACATGGCCACCCCTCCGAGCTCGAGGGCATGGAAGGGAGTCTGGGAACAACTGCAGTTGCTTCCAAGCCTCAAGATGTCTGGGTTGTTATGGCTGCTCACCCACTYAGTTGTTCCAACGGCCAGATGGTTGATAGACAAGGGCATGATAGTTCAACCGAACTGTCGGCGATGTGGGAACAGATCAGAGGAAACTCTGATTCATTTTCTTTGGGAGTGCCCTGCATCCCAARGAATTTGGAGATGGTGGGCGGATCACTGGCAAAGACTGGGCAATGCATTGTTATGGGATCAGGACTGGGTTGTCTCAAGAAGACTCCCCCCCCTGTTTTTTAAGCRGAAGGGTTGGGGATATATGGCCCAGGCCATCAGAGSAGCAATTGCCTGAGTCATTTGGGAGGACARAAACAAGATTCTGTTCCAAAATGAATGGTCAGCTGATGGGCAGATCAAGAGCAGAATAAAGGCAATCATAAGAACGATGATACAAGTGGATTGGAAGAGGAGAGCCAACAGAGGTAGGTCACATACAGGTCGGAACTGGTTCCTGTTCACGTGGGCCAGAGGGTCACAGTTGGCTGCGGTGACAGTGGAAGGGAAACTCGTGATTTCTCGATGGTTAACAGCTGGATGAAGACGTAAGTTAAATAAGTAGACGAGGTGGGGAAGGGGAGGGGTGGGAAGGAGAGGTGGGGCGGGGGGGGGGGGGGGGGGGGGGGTGGGGCTGGGGGGGGGGACCTGGGGGGTACCTGATCCCTCGGTTGTCTATCCCGAAGAAGGGGGTATGGTTCCCGTTGGGAAATCTGGGAACAGAGAGGGGTGGGAAGTAGTGTACAACCCAAACCGCTTTAGGTTGTGGGGGGGGTCGCCTTAGACCTTAGGAATGGGGAACTTGGCATAGCTTGGGGTAATTTGGGGACTTACATACGTAGGGTGGGGTAATTTGGGGATATATGTAGGGTAGGGAATAGGTCCAAGCGGAGTTGGCAACTAGGCAGATAATTGCTCTTTTTCTTTCCTTTTCTCTGTTCTGAAGTCTGTGTAGAAGAGGATTTTGAGTCACAATCCAGCCTGGGTAATGTAGGCTTTGATCCGGGAAAGGACCAAGCCCCCTGGTCTTATAAGTGATTGGTATGCTGAATGGATGACTTTCGATGTTAATGTGCTCGTCGGGTCCGACTGGTCCCGTAAAAAGCGAAACCGGCTGATGCTGCCGGGATAACTCCGGGTTGAATTGTGAGGTCCCCGGCCTCGATTCTTTCAATGTGTAACATGTAATGAGGATTAAA